GGTGTGTGTGTGTTTGTGTGTGTGTGTGTGTGTGTGTGTGTGTGTGTGTGTGTGGGCTTTGGACTCTGAGCTGCAAGGTCATTTTAGGAAGGCTGGGGTTTTTCTGGGCTTTGGAAGTCTTGTTTGAGTCTGAAGTGAGATAAGGAGAGGAGGTGGGTGCAGTAGGTATTGCCTTCTGCTTTAGTCTTAAAGGGAGGAGCAAAACCCTACTCCTAGCTCCTGGGTTAGAGCTGCACCTGAGATGACCTTGCTTCTAGCCAGCATGGGCTGAAGGGGGAGCCAGTGGGGAGGAGGAAGATGGCGAAGAGATTATGTAGCCCTATAGATTTGGGACTCAAATGTTCTAAGTAAGATTTTCAGAGGGACACAGAGGTGCATGCTGTAATCTCAGCACTCAGGCCTCTGAGGCAGGAGGATTTTGACTTTGAGCTCAGCTTAGGCTACACAAGCTTTTTGAGGGCCTTCTGTGTGTGAAGTATGGTTGCATGCACAAAGAATAGCCCTTGAACCTCGGAGGTAACTCTTTGGAGCATCTGTATAGTATGAGGCTCAATGCAGGAGGAAAATAAGCTCCTGTTTAGGTGACCCTACCATTCCGACAAAATGAATCCTTGACAGACAAGTCCTTGATATGGTGAAGTTCTGAAAGAATCCACCAGGGGGCGTTGTGGACTGAATTCCTAAAAACATCTAGCTAGGGGCAATTGGTGCCACCTTGGTGGCTAAGGTCGGTACTCTCCTCTGCCAGAATTGGTTTGGCTTAGTCAATGGTATTATTAAAAGATGTTATTTAGTGTCAGTTTCAGGGATTTTGACATAGAACCTCAGACTTAAGTCCTTCTTACCACAGTTTTTACTCCTTCCTGGAAGCCCCGAGCAAGAACTGAGGAGGACTGGATCTTGGAGGGACTCGTGTTTTCTATATTTTAATTATTTATTTGGATGAAGAGAAGACAGAAGGGAGAGGTAGAGGTTGGATATCTCTAACTATTGCTCTAAACCTTATCTTTTGAGGCAAGTTCTCTCACAGAACCCAAATCTCATCAATGGAGTGCTGGGGGGCCAGAGACCTGCCTGTGTCTGCTTTCCCGGTGTTACAGTCATGTGTGGATATGCCTGGCTTTTACGTTGGTGATGGAAATCTGAACTGCAGGTACTTTTAACTCACTGAACTGTCTCTCTAGCCCCCAAGTTCTCTCTATTTTTCTTATCTTCATCCTGTTCCAGCTGTATAGCTGATCTGCCCCTCCAGACATCTGAGATTTTAACTTGGGGAAGTACTCCAGCCAACTCTACTAACAAGTGTCCTGCTCCTAGGAGAACCAGGGTGTGCAGGCTAGTTGTCTGTCAACTTGACACAAGCTAGAGACATTTGGTGACTTCAGTTGAGAAAATGCCCCCACCAGATTGGCCTGCGATGTACTTTCCTAATTAGTCATTGATGTAGCTGGGCCTAGCTCACTGTGGGTGATGCTACCTTTGGAATGTAGTTTTGGGATGTTTAAGAAAGCAAACTGAGCAAGCCAGTAAGCAGCATCCCTCCCTGGCCTCTGCATCAGTTTCTGTTTCTAGGTTCCTTCCTGGAGTTCTGTTCAACTCTTTCTTCACTGATGGACTATGATGTGAAAGTGTAAGCTAAACCAAATTCCTTTCCCTCCAAGTGTTTTTTTTTTTTTTTTTTTTTTTTTTTTTTTTTTTTTTTTGGTTATAGTGTTTATCACAGCAACAGAAACTCCAAGAAACAAGGCTGTGCTAATGCTGATGGAAGGGTGGTGGGGGGACCAATGAAGGTGCTGGTAGGGAACCAAGGCTAGGAGGTAGGCATCCACACAACTCCCCAGGCATCTCCCAGATCACTTTCTGTCTGCAGAGACTTGTGAACAAAGTGGTCAGAGATGGGGTATAGGGAATGGAATGGGTGGGTGTGTGGGTATGTGGAGGTAATATAAGAGCAGTCAGAGGAGGGGGTGTGGGGAATGGGATGGGGTGGCATGTGGAGGCAATATAGGCACTCAATAGATAACTGTTCCCAGATGTCAAATCCATCTTTGCTCTTGGACTTGAGCCACACGAGTGACCAGAAGAAACACCCAGAACCAAGGATTGATCTTACTATTGCTGTCTCTTAGAATAAGATTTTTATAGGGTGCTGTGTAGAAGATGTGGGTACATGGGGTCCTAAGAGGTTTTTAAGGCCATGTCTGCAGATTCAGGTTACTTAAGACAGCATTCAAAGTTGTCAGAGAACACAGAGCCCTGATCTCCTCTTGTTAGTGGTAGTAAGGTTCCAATGGGACTATGATTGAAGAGAACTTTGTCCAGCTGCCTGGACCAGCATGTATACTTTGGCAGTGATGGACCCTGAACATGTTTTGTTTGAATTTACATGATTTAAGAATGAGAAATTTCTTGTAGGGCTCAGTTTTGGGTCTTTCTGGACTATTGGCTCATCTGGCCACATGGGGCTCACATTCCCACAGGGGACCTACTGTCATTCATAGGATCCTGTGACTCTTTTTATCCACTGTATCTACCTGGTGGTGCCTGACCTTTGGCTGGAAAGACCCATCCTGAATGTGGGCAGCCCCATGTCATGGGCTTCCATCCTGGACTGAACAAAGAGGAGAAAGGGAGATGAATCACAGAGATCAACCTTGCTTCTGGGTCTTCACCACCAGATGGACTGTGTCTCCCCAGACTATGAGCCAAAACACCCCCTTCTTCCTCAGGTTGCTTTGTGTCACAGCAAGAAGGGAAATCAGAACTCTCCCAGCTTCATGAGGCATGTGAAATGGTGAGTCTCATTTAGACAAGGAACTTGCAGAATTGTTTGTTAGTCTGTGGAGCCTCCTGCAGGTGGGTTTGAGCAGGACAAACAGAAGTGGTGCTCTTTGGGTGAAGGCTGAGGTGGACCCAGTCCTCACCCATGCCTTCTCAGGACTCCTGGTGGAAACCTAAAACCCCAAGAATCCTGCCTCACGACTATACATGCAACCAAGTTTGCATTGCAGAAATGTGAAAACTGAGACCCAGCTCACAGAGGGTCTTGTGCTTCAGCCAAAACTTGACCCACATTCCTTGTTCTACTGTCTATGATACTAGACAGTAAAATAGACCTTAATTCACTTACTGACTCCCAGAAACCAGATATACTATTGAGTTGAATTCTCTGAGGCTCTGTCTGGACTTGTTGGGAAAAGAGATTGCATCGATTAGCAATGTCTGCCTTGGGTGGAGAAGGAAGTGTGTGTGGGGTCACAGCATGTGTAGATCATGGGAGAATTTTTCCTGTGACTCTGAAAGAAATGTTTTCTTACCTTTAAAGTTGGGCCTGATCCTGGCATCATATCCAGAAGTCCTCCCCATGAGCTTATCCAGGAAGTCCGATGGTGACATAGGCTTGGGTGCAGAGCGTGCAGCTTCAGCCTCCTTGGAAGCAGCAAGGCTAAGAAGAGAGAAAGAAGCACAAGGTTGATACTGGCTCTTCTCCATGCTCTGATCAGACACCAGCCTTGTCCATCCATGTAAGACCCCGGTAGTGTTTTGAACTTGAGCTGATCTGGAAGGCACAGGCCATACTGTTTACGCAGCTCCAGTGAAAGCCAGCCTGGAGCCTGGCAGACAGCCAGTATCTGACAGCTTGAGAAGTCTCGGACTCCTCACAGTGTCTGAGATCATGAGTCATCACAGTGGCTGCTGGGTCTCCTTGAGAGAGGAGGCTAAGGGGTTGGGTCTGTGTCTCCATTAAGGAGGAGTGTGAGGGGGTCAGTCTGGCTGGCTCAGCTCTGCTTTGGGTACCTGAGCTCTCACAGGTGTGTGGGCAGTTAAAGGATTTCAGAAATAACATAACCATTTCCTTTCAAGTCCTTCTCAGAATCCGCTATTGTAAAAACAAGTAAATAGATAAATAAAAGTTGCTACAGTCAAATGCATATGGAAATACAAATTCAACAAGCTTGATATACTTCTGCACATGGGTGCAGAAGAAATCCACCATTAGAAACTGGAGTTGGTTCATATCTGTAACCCCAGCACTCCAGAGTCTGAGGCAAGAGGATTACTGTAAGTTTGAAACCAACCTGTGCTACGTAGCAAACACTACCCCCAAACCCCCAAAGTCAAAGAAAAAATGTGATTTCATGGACGTCTTTCCTTCTGAGCACTTCTCTTTTTCTTAACCCTGTGCTTAAAGTCTGTACCAAAATATCTTCAATGACTCACAACACTGCTTACAAAAAGGGGGTAGGGTGGGCAAAGTTGAGGCAGGGTAGTGGAAGGTGCAACACAGGTACCAGAGTTGATCAATTAATGCTGGGGACCAAGAGTTGGGAGGTTGGAAACCAAGTGTCTGGTGGTGTTCTAAGGTATTGCTGTCAGGTCTCTTTTTCCCTAATAAGGTAGGTTAGTAATGTTTAAGCAAAGTCCCAAAGGTGCCCAGATTTCAATGCAAGTCACAGTTGGAGGCCTAAGAGTTGAAGAGCAATCACTTGGGTTGCTCTGGGTCCCTAAGAGGCCTGAAGTCTACAGCTATACTCAGATGGAGGAATCCATGTGCTGCCCTGGCAGAATCATGTGGGTCTTCAAAGATGAAGGAAACAGAAACAGAGTGAGGTGTGTGTGTGTGTGTATGTGTGTGTGTGTGTGTGTGTGTGTGTGTACACACGTGTATAGTGCACATGATAGCCATGTGTACCCCAAGGGTCCGTACTGAACTTGACTCCTTCTGTGCTTGCCTTCTTTCTTGAACCTTTGTCTTCATTGATGGAGACTGACCCCAGGGTTCTGCATACATTAGGTAGGCATTCCATCACTGACCAATTCATGCCTTACCCTTGCTCAACTCCTTCTCTATTGGCATCTTTGCTAATTGTCTAATGATCTGCTGTAATGGCTGCTCAACTCTGCACCTCACCAAGTCAGGGCATGTACCTTTTCCTTCATGTCCCGCTGCAGCCCAAGTTTACCCACCAAATTCCAGGCCACTGATTCCTTCCAGACCCTACCAATATCCCTGCTTCCTAGGACTTCCAGTCAGTGTCTCCTGTGTTCCCATCTTCTTCTCTCCCTCACTCTCCATGTCCTGTTAATCCATGAGACGGCTGGTATACTTTTATTTGTGGGGTTGTTTCTTGTCTCAGTTTTCTGTATGACAGGATCTCAGATGTGCACAGTTACACTGACTTTAAAATTTTTAAATTACATCTGTCTGTCTGTCTGTCTGTCTGCCTGTCTGTGTGTGTATGTATGTGCATATATACATGCATGATGATCAGAGAACAACTCAAAGGATTCATTTTTTTGTCTGTCCACTGTGTGGGTCCTGGGGATCAAACTCAGGCTATCACTCTTGATGGCCAGCACCTTTACCCAGCGAACCACTTGCCAGTCCCAACTGTTTGTTTTTGAAGCTGTATCTGTTTATATCCCAGGGCAGGGATCATATAATTTTCTTTTATTTATTCCCTATTTGTTCTCTAATCCCCCAGGTGTCTACCCTGCTGTCTCAAACTTAATTGGTGCTCAGCCATTGTGTGGTGACTGAATGATGATCAAGCAACTCATTAATTAATCAAGTATACCGGCTAATAGGAAGTGTTCGTAAATATTGGTACATGGGTTAACAATTTAACAATAATTAGACTATTATACACAGTAATAAAAACACAGACACAGTCTGGTGTTTCTTAGGAGATTTGTAAGGTATGCTGGGATTTCCTGGATGTCCTTGCTCAGGCTCTAAGAATGCCCTATTTATGTCTCAAGGAGCTGTACTGGACTGATGAAGGACATTGCCGTTGTATATGGCTAGTGGTGTAGCTGGGGTCCTGTGATGGGATGGGCTTCTGCATATATTGATGGGGGTGTCTTGTATCCCAAAGGAGGGTGTGTAACAGCTGGGCACAGAGACTAGAGCGTGGATATGGAGCAGATAATGTCACAGAGATTGGTGTGTACAAACATGAGGGTGCCTGTATCTGTGGCAGGTCAGGGCCATTTATAGTTAAGTGGGGTGTAATGTGTACAGGGATGGATGAATGCTGACAACTATTTATGTATTTATTATACATGTTTGTTTGCTATGCATTGTAACACATAGTGTAGCAATGGCTCCCATTGGTATTGCCTGTGTCATCCCACTAGGGAGAGGAAAGAACTGAGGGAGAGCCACAGAAGAACAATGCTTAGTGGCTTGCTCCCCATGGCTTGATCAGTTTACTTTCTTATACACTCCAGGACCATCTGCCTAGGGGTTGCACTGCCTATCGTGTGCTGGACCCTCCCATATCAATCATTAAGCAAGAAAACGTCCCACAGGCTTGCTTACAGGCCAATCTGAGGGAGGCAATGCCTCAGGTGAGATTCTCTCTTATTGAGTGACTCTAGGTTGTGTCAAGTTGACAATGAGACCTAACCGGGATAGGGACCATATCAGCCAGTATAATGACAACTAGATGTAAAGGGAGAGCTTCGTGCACCAGTGCCTCTGCTGTTTGTCAGTGTCTACAGCCTGAGGTTGTTCTCACGGATGGGGAAAGAGCTGTGTTGGAAACATTATAGATACACTCAGACTTAGTGATGACTGTCTCTGAGACGAGGAGGGCAGCTGAGACAGAACTGATTCAACAATGATTCAAGCTGGGGATGGTGGTATATGCCTACTATCTCTGGACTTGAGTGGCTGAGGCAGGGGGATTGTTACAAGTTTGGGTCCAGTTTGGGATACATAGTGATATCCTTTCTGGGGAAAAAATAGAATGGGGGCTAGAGCTGGCTCAGCAGTTAAAGCAATTTACTGCTCTATCAGAGGGCCTAAGTTCAGATACTAACGTCCACATCAGGTGTCTCACAACTGCCTGTAACTCCAACTCCTAGGGATCTAACATCCTCTACTGGCCTCTGTGGACACACATACAAGTAAAATAAATCTTGAAAATCTGCTTTCTCCCAAAACAAAAAAGACACACACAAACAAACCAACAAACCCTAAATTCAACATTATTGTGTATGTTCAACAACAACATCCAAATCTCCAAGGTTTCCTAATAGTCTCCAGAAACAAAGGCTCCATCTTGATGTCAAAGTGGCCATTTTCCTGCACCTGACAATTCTCATTCATTTCTGCCTCTGTTTGGACGGTGCGCTTTGTACAGGATTATTTTAAGCCTCTCCCCCATCTTCAGTGGATCTGTGCTCTGGGCATCTGTGGACAGTAAACACACTATATTATATTTGGCGTCACTGCCCCTGGGGACTTTACAGATGCTGAATGAGTCTGGAAATGAGGTACCTGGCCATGTATAAGTACTAGGAAGCAAGGCAAATTACTTCACTTAAAAGAAGGATTTATTTTATTTTAGATTGTGTGTGTGTGTGTGTGTGTGTGTGTGAGAGAGAGGGAGAGCGAGAGAGAGAGAGAGAGAGAGAGCGAGAGAGACAGGTGTCCATGGAATCCAGAAGAGGATGTTGGATCCCCTAGAGCTAGGGTTATAGGCTTTGAGATGCCTGACAGGGTTCTTGAAACTGAACTAGGGTCCTCTTCGAGAGCAGTAAGTGCTTTTTAACTCTGAGCCATCTCTCCAGCCCCCAGATAGATTTGATGAATACTAATTGACAGGAGGTGAGGGGACCTCTGTCCCATGGAAGGTTTTTGGCAGTAGATGCATCTTTGAACAGTACATGGAGAATCTATCATCTTTTGCTAAGGGCATGTATCCCACCAGGGGTCTTAAGGAACCTTAGGGCTGGACATCAGTTGTGCATGCCTTTAATCCCAGCACTCGGGAGGCAGGGGCAGGTGGATCTCTGTGAGTTCCAGGCTAGCCTGGTCTCCAGAGTGAGTGCCAGGATAGGCTCCAAAGCTACACAGAGAAACCCTGTCTCGAAAAATCAAAAAAAAAAAAAAAAAAAAAAAGGAACCTTAGTTATGACTCTGAATAGCAGATATCATGGGCATCTGTTTGGTTTGTTTTTGTCAACTTCACACAAACCAGAGTCAACCGAAGAAAGAGAATCTTTTTTTTTCTTCAGATTTTTTTAATTTGAATTAGAAACAAGATTGATTTACATGACAATCCCATCCCCCCCCCAAACTAAAATTCTACCTATCAAATATCCTTTCTGCTCCCCCTGGATGGTAATGCCTTCCATAGGGTGTTATCAGAGTCTATCATAACCTTTGGGATAGGGCCTAGGCCCACCTGGTGTGTCTTGGCTCAGGGAGTATTTTGAGTATTCCTCTATATGGAATGGGCTCCCAAAGTCCACACCTATGCTAGGGATAAGTACTGAACTACTACAGGAGGTCCTGTAGATTTCCAAGGTTGAGGAAAGAGAATCTTAATTGAGGAATTGCCTCTCTCATATTGGCCTGTAGGCATGTTTGTGGGGGCGTTTTCTTGATTAATGATTAATGTGGGAGGGCCCAGCTTATTGTGGGTAGTGCCA